TACGGACATTAAACTAACGAGGATTAGGAAGCTTACTTCTGAAAATATTTTTGAAGTGGGTTGCCATCTATTTGAAAACTTTAATTCAGTTAAATTGATAAGATAACCTAAATGTTGCCATATGGGTATCAAACGAAAGTATTTGAGAATAACAAAATTGCAACAGGCCGATATCTGTACATATTAGATGTTAAAGAAAAATTAATAGGGGGTTTATTATATCACCAGAAGCCAAATCTAAAATTTTTATAATTTTGGTCTATTTGTCTGTATATTTGGAAGCGCATCACACAAAAGCTAATGTATGGAATTAAATGCAGTTTTCACCCATGTACATATTGCTAGAGCTCTAATTGGAAATATAGAATCCTTTTTTTTGTTTTAGTTTATCGTCGATAATTATTCCTAGGTATTTGAATGTATTAACTCTTTCCTGTACGTCGCTGTTTTTATTAAGAGTTAGCAACTGACTGGCCTCAAAATTTTTTTGATATAACCACAAACTTAATTTTACTGACATTCATTTTACTGATGTTCAAGCATAACCAATCGCACTTTTTTGGAACTTCTGTGTGGAAGGATTTCGCTAAAAAAAAAAATAAAACTTTTTGTTGCTGCTGCCAAAAAATTAAGAAATCTGAGACGCCACGGTTTACAATTTCATACAGTTCTCTGTACAATGTATTTCACTAAACAACTAAATGGCTACACTGATTTGGTTCATATTTGGAACATATGCCAGCACCTTGAAAATAAATATTCCGACCAAAAATTTACTCGGTATGTTGCGCGGGATATCCCTAAAATTCTTGTACAGACTAAAACGTAAAAAAAAACAATCTCTAAAACCAATTACGCTGAGGAACTGAAACTTAGCACTGATGCATATATAGCAAATGCATTGGAAAAGGGGGCGTGGCACGTTCCATACAAACTGAACTTCTCATATAGCTTATCTCTGGAACCGCTCACGTTAACTTTCTGAAATTTGACACAGCTACATATGTTATCAATACCGTAGTTATGGCGAAAAGTGGTAATTATTGGAAAGATTGCATCGATATATGTACATTTACATAAACGAGCAAGTTTCATTCGCTTGGGAACCATGAGAGCCGCTTTCGGTGTTCGGACTAAACTTAAAAACCACTGTATAGAGTTCCGTCAAATTGTCGGAGGTTAGATATACCTTACATATATAGTCCTATTACATGCTTCTAGAAAACTCGCTAGGTGGAGCTGGAGTAGAGCTATTAATAAAAATCATATTTATTAACCGATATCGTTCAAATTTTAAATGTGAGCTATGTACCTGTATGATACCTGTAGAGGTTGAAATTCATAACACGTATTTATTTTATGGTAAGCAATGGTTTTGCATGTCGGCCGCTGTGGTGTAGTGGTAAGCAGTGCGCGCTTCCACTCCGCAGCACCTGGGTTCAAACCCTGGTCAATACAACACCGCAAAAAAATATAGAAAAAAAAGTATTTTCTTAACAGCGGTGGTCCCTCGGCAGGCAATGGCAAACTTCCGAGTGTTTTTCTGCCATGAAAAACAACTTCTCATAAAAATACAATCGCCGTTCGGAGTCGGCGTAAAACTGTAGATCCCTCCTCTTTGTGTGACAACATCAAGCAGCACGCCACAAGTCGGAGGAGAGGCTCGGCCAAACACTAACATATGTGTAAGCCCCAATCTAAAAAAAGTGGTGTTTCAGAAAATGGACCCAATGGTTGGCGCTGCAGCCTATGTTTAAGCTATACGAATTTAGTTTTCATATGTCTAAATGAAGGATGGGGTTAAGTTTGTCATGCGATCTTGCATCTACCTAGAAATCAGTTCATAAATATTACCACGAATTGTAAAAGTGGCGAATTAACAAGGAAAGATCATCGTAGGTATATCAATCGCAAAAGTTCTTATTAGGCACCGCGAAGTAAGCGGGCATTGGCTAGCTTGGAATAAAAAATAGCGCGATAAAGAAAGCGCGATATGTTCTTCTAACTTTTCGCCTGCGGCGCTTTTTTTCTTTAGTCATATAAAATCATATTTTCCTATTTCATTACATAAAAGAAGATACCCTGCAAACCATTTTTTCAGAGTATTTTGAATTGTAGAGAAATTTTAAGGATTTCGTTACGATCTCTAATTTTCTAAAATGAAATGAACTGTGCACACTTCGATTCTTTTACGAAATTTCGGAAGAAAATCGGTAAAGAAATATAAATAAGGCTGCTATGTGGAGAGTTTATTGCAGAAGTTTTTCAGAATTTTCTTTATTTTTCGTACAGAAATTTCTTTACGAGTTCGTGTCAATCACTTCATATAATTTTCTTTGAAGATTCGTAAAAAATCGTTACAGAAATGAGATACTCCTAAACATTTCGTTAAGATTTCGGGAACTTTGGTTTGCCGGGCAGTTTTGAGCCAAATGTGCATGCGCAGATTTTCCATGTATTAGTATCTGTGAATATATGTAACAAATACATTCAAGTAAATTTGACGTATCCTCAGTAGCGCTTGAAAATAAATTTGAAGGGGATTGTTTACTCTGGAGTGGTTATGCCCCTTTGATAACGATGTTTACTTATACAAACTGAAACTTTATGATGAAGTATTAAAATTTTATTTTAAAGCTACCTGGAAATTAAACAGCCGACTTGAAAATTTTTAAAATTATCAGCAATTTATTATTTCAGAATGTTTAACTCAAACATATATGTATCTCCATTTTGACTGAGTAAAAATTTACTCACTATTCAGTTAAAGAGGAATAAAAAACTATATTGATTTGTAGTGATTTTTATATAATATTCGCAATGTTTATTTTTAATAATTTTTTATATACGATTACTCGGTTTCCTTTTTCCTTTTTTATACATCTGTACTGTAATGTTTGCTGACTGCATTTGTAGATACTGCCAATATAAAAGTATTACATACATATGTATATATGCAATACAGTTATTTTATTTTACAATTGGCAGTTGTCCTTAAACCTAGCTATAAAAAAATTATATATCAAATCAAAAGTATTTTTATGATCTTTCTAGTAAATATATCTTTTAATATATGTAGTTCATTACGTATTTCTTTAAGAAAACTTACATATTTTGTTTACATATTTTGACAGATATTCCATTGAAAATTATGTCAAACTGCAAAGAACTTTAGTGTCGCCTTAATTTGGACTACAAATATACCCCATTTAAACGACTTAATAGCCACTTGAATGAATTTTTCGGTAAACAAATCCATTTACCTAAAGAAACCAAAAATCGGCTGTTTTATTCACACGCCGTGAATAACCCTATTGCGTCGATGCATAAGGTTGGTAGTACTGATAAATTTGGTTGCATGCGACGCATAATCAGCCTTAAGTTTGGTAAAGTTGTGTTACGTTTCAGAAGTTGTGCGAAGTTATGCGAAGTATGCATATTCAGACCTTTAGATGCGCTCACCCGGCGTCAAGCTTGCAACAAATACATTCTATGCAGTTTAGCAATTCCTCTCCGCTGCTTCTCCAATCAGCACACAATTGAAAAAAAAACTGATCTTATTTTTGCACAATTCCACCGTTGTAGCGACCGCATACTATACATTCACTACAAATACCCAAACATACATATGTATGTACTTGCATTATATTGTATCTATATCCAGTAGATGCAGCCCACAAACCTATTACGAATACAAACGCTTTTAAATTCTATTCACCATAGTCTATTTTATTCATAGCTTATTCTGGATAATTGCTTTGAATGTAGATTGCCAATGCTTTGATTTCCACTTTTATTATACACAACTATGTAGATATGTATGTATGTACATACATATCGTCGTTTAAAGTACAAAACCGCGTATCGTCATTCTGCAAAACCGCGTAACGGAAATTGGCTGCCAAAAATTGGATTTGCTCACACAAGCTCTTGGCTCAATCCTAATCCATTCGTCCTGAAATATACTTGCCAGAAATGCGATTGCTTTATAAAAAAGGGAACCATTTTGAAATATGAAAATAGAAAATAATTTCTACAAGTTCGCATACGCGGTTTTGCATTTTGCTGATACGCGGTTTTGCACTTTAAACGGCGATATGTATATTCATATTGTTAATGTACTCGCTCATGTGTATGTATGTACATATTTATATTATTATATTAACAGGAATTTTATAAATACCTCTGCTACCGAACACTCATACGTACCCAGTAGAAATTTTATGCATACGACATCGCTGTTGGTGGCATGAGCTTGCTGCTGTGATACATGCCAGTATAAATGAAACTTCATTTCCGTTTAACACGTGTGGTTTCTCAGGGCGTATACGTACTTTAACCATACACTTGTACTACTGCTGTACGCATATGACTTTATTAATGTTTCAAACATACAAAAATGCATTAATGGAACAGTATTAAAGCATTCTTACAAGATATGTATCCCCATATGTAAATGCTACTTTTCTGATACATTTTATTATATGGTACTTACGGGGACATACAAAAGAGTAGCATTTACATATGCAAATGCATATCTTGTAAAAGCCCGTTAGTGCTGAAAATATTATCGCCCAACACGTCCGTTTACTAAATTTTTTACAAGACTGAAAATATTACAAAAATTCCACTTCCAATTTATCAAGAAATGTACTTAAAACAACAACAACGTACGTTCGCTTGTAGTTCGCTAGAATTTGAATTTATTTGTGGAAACTCATAACTACGCGTGAATTGTTCACACTAATTCACTCATAAAGCATGCATACTTCATGAATGCATACAACCGATTTCTACTCGGAAGCTCATGCCACCAACAGCGGTGTCGTATGAATAAAATTTTTACTGGGATGTAAGTGCGTACGAATTATTTTCCAAGATACATATGTATGTACATACATACATATATGCACATTATCTTTGTATGTAACAATAACAGTAAATTAATTGAGCGCTTGTTTTTGCACTATTCTCATTTTCCTTTTCTACATCTTTTCCAGTGATAGCAGAGAAAACTTGAGCAGCGATCAACAACAGCAACAGACTGCGTATCAACAACATCAGCAGCGTCTACATCAACAACAGCAACCGTATCATCGACAGCAACAACATTCACATCCGCATTTATTGCGACAGTCTCTGATCAACCTTACGGGCGCGCACAATACCTGCAATAATATCGGTGTTTCGAACGCATCGGAACAACAGAGCGCTACTACAAGTAGAAGTGGCATTGCCGCACCATCGTCGTCGTCCCTCAACTACCCCAACTCTAATACCACAAAACACACCAACTCCAACACCAGCACATTACACAAATTCATTTCCTGCAGTTGTGAATCACTCAAATTTGCAGCATCGGCCGTTGCGAGCAAGGCAATAATAAAGCGGTCGGGTCACAGTCCTGGAGACCCCGACAGTGAGTCATTAATCGATAGTCAAAACACGGATTATATCGAATACAACGTTGCTTATTTGGGTGCTGGTCATACAGGGCACAGTGCTGGTTGCATAAGTAGCAGCATCAGTCGTGGCGGTGATGACCAGCGCTCTCTGCAAAGTGAGCATCTGTCGAGTCGGCTTAGCACCGTTTCCAAACAACATTCATACGACAGCAGCTGTAGCGGGCAACTTCATAGTCTGACCTTAACCGCAAGAGAGCGCCATAATCAACACCAGCAGCACCAACTGGATTGTACTGCCAATTCGACGCGAGTGCCAAATAGTCCGATCAGTTGCACCAACAGTAACTACAGTAATCAGAGTAACATCTACGCAGGGAGAAGTGGGGGTGGAGGCACCGGTGGTGGAGACGCGGACGAAGAAAGAGAAAGAAACGGCGGCCCATCCACCATATGTGATGCATATAAAGACTTAAACCGTCACACAGCGATCAATAGCAATAGCACAAGTTATGGCAACGACTTCAATGAGGACTTCAAGCACATAGTCGTTCACAATTTTAGCAATTCCGATCCAATAACTCGTTATAACACTATAGGCGGTGATAGTGGCGGTGACGGTTACACAGGTATCAACGACACAACAGGCACATACCGCTCGCACCTGAAACCACATTACAGCGATTGCAATATCTACGCGAAACAGCAAGCGGAATATTTTTCGAATTTAAAAAGTGATTTTGATCAGTACGCACCGCAGGTTGATAAACAAAAGCTAGTCAATAAAACATACATTTTCAAGTGTCTCGCCAATAGTCCTTCATTTCTCAGATCCAATAAGGTCAAGGAGCAATCGAAGAAACTTCGCAACTTGTCGCTGAAAAATCGAGCGGGTAAAAAGAAAGGACAGTTAATAGCAAAGTCGAATGCGGTTTCCGACAATTCTCTGCATCCTGGTGACAAATACCTCAGTTTATATCTAGTCGAGAAGAAAAACTCACAGCAACAGCAACAGGTTCAGCACACACAACAACAGCAGGCTGGGCAATTAGAAACGACTGCAAGTGGAGTGAATACGCGACCATTGAGTTCGCCTCCAGTTATATCTGGCAGACATCAACAAGAGCAACAATTTCAACGAGATCAGCAACACGGAGTTGCAGCGTCAAGCACGAACACACAACAGCAACAGTGCCTCGTAAACGGAGCGGTGCGAACACATCCCACATATCGACGTCAGTCCTCAATAAAGCGCGATTCGAAAGATCGGGGCGCAACATTCACGCCGACAGCATCGACACATAGGAATCCAAAGGTCACCTCCAACAACAATAAAAGCTGCAATCTGAACAACAACGGCAATAAGCTAAGCGTAAGCACGAATTCGTGCAACAAGCTGCACGTGGCAGCAGCGGGTATACATCCATATGCCACACCGCCCAAGAGTTCGCTATCGAGCAATGGACACTTGAATAAGTATTGCCTGACAGACATTAGTCGTCGACGGAAGGCGGCGTTCAATCGACAGCTAAGTGCTCCCACTGATTATACGCATTCTTCCAACAACAACAACGGCAACAGCGGATCACATTCAGCTACCGAAGCCGCTTGCGAGTCAACATCTACAGTAGCCAGCGCAGGCGTGGGCTCAGTAACGGCAAAGGCGTCCACATCCCTGCAGAATTCCGTTCTAATAAAGCCAACATCTACGTCCAATTCGTGTACGAACAGTTTCAATCGGCGACATATTAAGCGTCAGAAGAATACTAAATTAAATGAGAGGTATGTTCTTTGAATATTTACAAACAGGCTTACATATTTCCACAAGTACGTATGCCACACTGTATGCATGGTAAATATGTACTTACATATATATGTACTGAAATTTATAACACAACACGATTTCATAAATGAAACCCCTAAAGAAGTCCACTAATTTCAAAAAATACATATTCGTTCATTACTCTGTTTTATCAAGAGTATACAATAAGTGCATATGTAGTTATGTTCATGTAGGGTGATCCAAAAAAATTCATTTGAGAAAAGTGAAGTTGGAATTTTAAGGTTCTCACCCCCTTCTAAATCGAAAAAAATGTCCCCTATTTTTTTAAATCACAAAATATTTAGAGGTCTCTCAAAGGGCTCACAGATTTCCATGTATTCTATATGGGGAAAAAACTCTTTCCTAGAAATGGTGTAGAATCCTTGAAACTCAATATTTTTCAATAGACAAACTTTCTTACTCTTCAGGAGACTTCAAAGAATAATACCCACATAAAATACATCCAAAATTTTTAGCCATTTGAGCGACCTCAATATTTTGTGATTCAAAAAGACAAGGGTATATATTTGGTTGATATAGAACACAGTGTTGCCACAAAAAATTTCCAAATTCCTCAAAAACAAATGAAAAATCCTCAAAATCCGAAATAATTACTCAAAATTTTCTTATTACAGATATGAGTACTGTGTACTACATACTATTTACAGGTACTAAGTACAAAAATTAATTACGTTCTCCAATTCAATTGGTACATTTGTTCTTGTGGCTCAAACAAAGTATCACCGTTATTTTGTATGCCTTGCTTTGTATATATGTAATATTGCTGTCAGTTCTACACATTTTTAAACTACTTAATATACGTTCTACTGAAGAATTAGAGAATGGCTATATCAGTAATGCAGATAAATATTGTTTTTAATTGGGAAATTTATATGAACCTGAAGAATCTTTTAATTAAAACTTGTTTCCTATAATTTTCTGGATAAATATTCTTATGATCGGACAATGCTTGCCCTCTCCATTCGTTATCAAGATTTGCAAGTTCAAAATAAGTTGAAAATATAACGATGGAATAAAAAAACAAGTAAGAAAGTCTAAGTTCGGGCGGGGCCGAACATTAAATACCCGGCGCAAGTATTACATATATGCCTTTTCACCTTTCCGAAAGCTACCGCTACATGGTAAGCCGGGGTGTATCAATTTTTAATAAATTAGCGTCCTTAAATTTCGAAATATTGACGTTTCGAGCATTTCTAAAATTTACCGTTATATGAAAAGCCGTGATTTTAGTCCGATTTCAATAATTTTGAACGTTTTGCTTTTATGTGGCAAGCACAATAACCATACCGAGTTTGGTACAAATTGGTAGAACGGTTGCCGAGATACATATATGTGATCATAAGTGGGCGGTGCCACGCCCATTTTCCAAAATTTTATGATAAGCGTATTTCCTGATAAAGAATTGTTGCAAGCATCAATTTTTAATAAATTAGCTTCAATATTTACGGATTTATCGAAGATTTCGTATTTCTCCAAATTACCGTTATATGGGATGTGGGCGTGGTTATTGTCCGATCTGTACCAGGTCAATAACTGTGCCAAGGTCAATAACTGTGCCAAGTTTGGAAGAAATCGGTGTAGCGGTTGCCAAGATATACACATGTAACCATAAGTGGGCGTGGCTGCGCCCATTTTCAAAAAAATGTTAATATTCTTATTTTTCGTCTAAAAGTTATTGCAAATATCAATTTTGAGTGAATAATCTTCAGTAGTTACTAAAATATCGCAGTTTTCGTATTTCTGAAAATTACCGTTATATGGGAGGTAGGCGTGGTTATTGTCCGATTTTGCCCATTTTCAATACCATCCGTCCTACGCCCGAAAGAAGTACACGTACCAAGTTTCGTTAAGATATCTTAATTTTTACTCGAGTTATCGTGTGCACAGACGGACAGACGGACGGACGGACGGACAGACAGTCACCGCTTAATCGATTTCTCTTTTCATCCTGATCATTTATGTATACATTTGTCTATATCTATCTCGATTCGTTTTGCCTGTTACAAACAACCGTTATGTGAACAAAGTTATAATACCCTTGTGCACAAGTGCGCTCGGGTATAATTATCGATAGTATTTTGAATATTTAGCAGCAAATGCAGATTTAAAGCTATTTATGTTGTGTAGGTTTGACAAGCCGTTTAAGGGAAATGTGAACAAAACTCAAAATATTTTGATTTTCTGGCCGCCATGTTGACGTTTGATCAAACCACTTACGTTGTGTATGGTAAAATCGCCTCATTCGCAACGGAATTTTCACCGAATGAGGACGCAAGAGAGAAAAATCGAACAAACCCAAATTCTTTTACATTGTGAACCGAAAGAAAAGTAAAACTCTTTGCTTGAACGAGTCATGTTTGCATGGTGTATGGCGAAATGGGAAAAGTAGGTTTGAAGAATGTTTGACAAGCCGCTTGTGTGGTATATTTCTCTCTTTATAAAACTTCGTAAAGCTTTTTGTTCAAAAATTTGCAGAGCTATTTAACAACTCTGTTATGTAAAACATGGTTGCATTTGTTATCTGCAAATACATATATCGAGAGAAAACTCCTCAAAAAATACGCAAGCGCATCCGAATTCCCTCACGTTTTGAGGAACTACTCACAAAGTGGTCACACTGATAGAACAATCATAGGGTTGAGAGCATTAAAATTCCGTTTTTACTTTCTTTGTACCACCCTAATGTTCACACAGATATGAAGGCACATATGAACATTTATATTTAGGAATATATGTATGTATGTATGTATGTACTGGGGATGTTGCGAATGTGGAATTTTAGACATCCGCGGATGCGAATGCGGAAGCGAATATCTAACGCGGATGTCAAATATTTTTAAGAAGCAATTAGTATTTTTAGAAATCTAGCATAATGGAGAGATCGTTGTTTACACAGCGCTTACAAGCCAAACCAAATGTGTAAAGTTTTTCTAAAGCTTTTTAAAAAGAATTCTTCATTCTCCTTCCTATGGCTGTTTCAGAATTTGGGGAATCTGTAACGTCATCAGCGTTTTTCAATTTGAGTTTTTGTAATTCATTTTTAATACTTCCTTTTGCGACTGGTTTGAAAAATTTGTGCTTATAGAGGGCTAAATAGGTGGATATGGAAAATAAATTATTATTTTCCAGGAATGAAAATTTTGAAAAAAATTCTGTTTTTAAAGTCGTGGCTGCCAGCCGAATCGGATCAGAATATTGTTATTTTTTTAAAGCTCCCTGTTTTTTATAAGCATTTGAATCGTGTTTTTTATAATTTGGGCATCGATTCTCTTTATAGCCAGACGTTGATCATTTCTGCTGGAAATCCCTGTTGAAGGAGCTTACTCTTTGACTTTAAATAGCAAATAAGGGACAGTTTTACCACAGAAGTTTTTAGCCAAGGATTCAATGTATATCCGTATGAAAAAAATATTGCCCGACAGGTAAACAAAATTACTCTTTTTAAAATTTTTGCTAAAAATAAATCCCCCAAAAAGCACCATTTGATATTATTGAAACGAATATATGTAACATCAAAAGCAAATCACGAAAATTTGATTAAGAATTACAGTGCACACTTTCTTCTTTTGTGTCTAGTAGTTTTTTTAAGATTGGTCCAAAAAAATCATAATAAAGAAAGAAACCAATGCAGGTATTTAAAGCACAAAAAAATTTTTTTTTTGTTAAAAAGACTGTGTTCTCTTTGACGCACGTCAAAGGTCAAGTAGAAGTTGGAACCTGTATAACTGCCCATTAATAGCGCGGTTATATACATAGCTTAAGAAATACTATGTTTAAAGAAATTTTTATCAAAGTTGATAAATATGACATTTGACTTATTTTGTTATACAAATACTCCCATGACCACAGGCAAAAATATTGGCTACAATTTGTCATTTTGTTTGCCATATATACGTTTTATCGGTGCACTTGCACAATATTCGCATTCGCAAAAGCTCCACATTGATTATTGCGAATGCGAAAGCGAATGCGAATGTTCAAATTAATGCGGAAGTTCCGAAGTTGCGAATGCGAATGCGAATATTCGCAACAACCCTGGTATGTACTACTTACATATATATATATACAATGAAATAATTTCTCTGTGTTAGGATAAGTTGAGTGAGGTTTCTTCCCCTATAAGATAGATCTCGCACTCGAACTTTTACTCGCAATTAAGTATTGTTCTGCTCAATCATATAATAACTAAGTAGATCTGAATATTTGTACACCCGTACATGTATGTACATATGTACATAAATAAATGTAAACAAACAAGAGAAACTCCATCAGCTAACTACTCTGGCCTCTAGATGTCGATTAATGCCTTTTGTAGCACGTGTGAGCTCCCGGAGGCAGACAGCAATCCAGTGCCTCTTGTAAACAGAAGAGAACTGTTGTGAAATTTTATCGTTAGTGTTCCTTTCACTTTTAAAAGCGTCAAAGTGTTCATTTTATATTTGGCTACGTACGCAATTGTGTGGGTGAATTAAAAAAAAAAATATTTCCAATTTACGGGCATGCATATTTAAGAAGTTAAAGTTTATGGCGAAAATCAAAGTATAATAAAATTGTTTAGTTTGGCTGTAAAAAAAAAAAGTTCAAAAGATTGTGTGTCCATGATCGCCAAATGAGCATAAATAAGTATGAACTTGAAAGTATATACATAAACGCACTGCAAATGTATTTGTACATAGATTTGTTAACTCGAGTTTTGGAGTTAGCGGAAATGCACTTAACAATGGAAGAGCTAATTTAACTTAAAAAAAAATGTAAAAAAGTGAAAATGTTTAAGGATATATATTTTTTTTAAAGTAAGCGTCGTTATCTCAGGTATTTTTCAAGCAATTTTTGGTTCTAATATTCTTATGTACGTAGTATATTCAGAAATAATTTTTTCAGGAAATAACAAGAATATAGAAATATAAAGAAATTCAAAGAAATTTCATTACCTCAAAGG